ATATATATATAAATATAAATATATACAATAATCATACTCCATGAGACATTGACTGGAAATGAGTATTCCTGTTCGCTGAAGGTAAAACTAAGTAAGAATTAGTAGTATAATAGAGGTATCTCTGATGATATTTTTCGATGATATAAGACTTAGTTGCATGAAAGAGGAGAGTTCATTATCGCGGAAGGTACTTGTAAAGTAATCCGAATGGAGCGGCGTAATACCGTACGTACGAAGTACGTGAAACGAAAGAAGAGAATGGCTTCCTTTCGGAGATTTCATTGTGGCGAATAGAAGCGAAAAAGTAAAAAATATCGTGAGGTGTGTAAATATAGCGGTGTACGATATTTACTAGAAACGAAAAAAATCAAGAAACGCATTCTTTGAATGCGGACATGTATGTACCTCTCTCTTTCTAAATGGACCCCAAAGTCGACTGACTACTAAAGTAAACGAAAAAAAAAAAATTACAAAAAATGTAAAAAAAAAACATAATGATAAGCGTATCGAGACTCGATTAAGTGTGCGGCGCACTCAGAGATACACACAGGCATGCACGTGCAAACACACAGTTGTGGATTCTGCGAAGAGAAAGTATTTCCGGCGGACGCACGCCGAAGACTTTATCCGACAAATTAACTTTCTTTAGTCTACTTTGTATATTTAACACGAATCTTTTCTTGAATATTGACAAGAGAGTGAAATTTTTCGATTATTTTACGGAGTAAAGATAAAGTCTTTCCGATTATTTTAAGTGCTCCGAATTGATTATTTTTATCATATGTATAATTTTATATCATGCGCAATAATATTGTACAATTTACGATAATTTTACTTGTAATTCTTAAATTATAAGGGAGGAAAAGAAAAAGAAAAAAAGATAGATCTGTTCATCTTCACCGTTTAATTTAATGACTTTCGTCAGAATCATTGTATCTTCTCATCGAAACTTTGTATTAAATGAAGGAGTAATTTCTCCCTTTTCTTTCTCTTTTATTTACTTTTCTTTTTTTAAAAAAAACAAGATAAAATAAGACTAAGATATACCAAATGAGAAATGTAAGGACAAGTTTCGTTAGGTTAGTATCTTATCGCATATCATGGAAACAAAAATACATGCGCTGATACACACTGTATTTGCCTATGGCGTTCGGGTATGTTTATATCTGGGACGCGCGAGACCACTTTTACTCTAGTAAGAGTATACGACTAGAAGTATTAATATTTAATAATAATGCTCAATATATATACATATATATATATATATATATA